CTAAATCCAGATGAGAAATACCCCATTTATCAACTCAACTGTGAAGTCTATGGTATCAAAATCACATCCATTAAATTTAATAAAAAATTCTTCAAATTGGAATTCCAACACTTGAAAAGTAAGCAACTGCTTTTACAAGTGTGGTGTTTTTCCACTGTCCTCATCAGTTCCCTGGGGGAAATTCCAAGAGGAAGAGTTGAAGGATAAAGAGCTTTCTGTATTTCTCTTGGTTTTAACTGCTAAAACAATTTTTGTTCCATTAGGTTTGTAATTTGAGATCTTTCAGAGTAAATTTACACAACAGCCTCTGACTTTATTAATTCATCACAACTAATGTAGTCTTCACATCTAAAAACAAATTGCTGACTGCTCATAAATTCCATCATCTACTTATATTAACACAGAAAATTGTTAAGTGCAAAATTATTCCAGAATTACAGACTATTGGACTAGCATGGCATAACTGTGTACACATGGGATGCAATAAATAATTACCAACTCATCTTTCTAGGGTTCTACTCAGATTTAGTCCAACATCAATCTAATCTATAAGATAACGGTAGCCAAACACAATGTGAAATAGCCCCCGAGAGGCCATCTGGCCACTGGCCTCCTGATAGAATGAATCCCTTACATCTTGAGGAATGACAAATACCTTGAGATATTATCTAACTGCTCACCCAAAGTATCTCCCAAGATGGAGGTCAATGCCCTTCTGGTTATGCTTTTCATATTCATAGAATGGGGAAAGTTTGCAGAAATATGGCTATTAGGCCTCCTCTAGTAATAAATACTTCGAAACTCCCCAAAGCAGATCCATTGGAAAATTGCTGTCTTGCTGCAAGAATTAAATCCCTGGTTAACCTCAGCTTATCACCTTCCCACTTCCATCTCCAAATTTCTGGAATGGCAGACAAGTGAATTACATCACTAAGCTGCAGAATGGTGCTGTGTTAGCAAATTAAAAAGGACATGTATAAAGTCTAAACCTGTACGCCAAATAAAGAGTTGTAGAAATTTGAAAGAACATTTAATTTCATTATTTCTTTGAGTCTCAAATTCTCAGATCACCAATCTGCCTTTTAAGTCAACAGAGTGAGGAAGACTAACATTCTGAATTGGGTACAGGGAGTGAGTTGGTCTCTGGAGCAGTTATTTTTTTCCATTACAACTGTGACAAACAAAGTAACTAAATTAACTTCATCCAGGGAAATTAAATGGATTTTTCACTAAGTAGCCCCCTGCCCCGCCCCCAAATTTATAAAGTCCCTAAAACTAGTTTTGGAACTATTTGTATTTTGTTGGGAACACCTGTGGGGCAAATTGTAATTGATGGTACCACTTGTCCAGAATACATCAATCAAACACAAACTGTTCAAGCAATTCTGAAACATTATCTGTCACTTAACTTTACTCTTGGTTTTCTCAATGGGTTAACCATCCAGAACAGCTGAAACTCTAAAAGAACTTCGTTCTGCCAAACATCAAAAAACAAAATACCTACATCAAATTAAAATGTTATTAGTAGCCACCTAGATTATTCCAAAAGTAAATAATTACAAACCAACATAATTAGTAGATATGAGACTAAAAACAATAAATTTAAAGCAAATATTAAAAATACTAAATCCAGCCTGCAGGTGACTAAAGGGCTTTCAAATCTCAAATATGCAAAGATGTGAGATATGAAAAAGTCAAGTAAATAACAGGCACAAGTTCTCAAATTTTGAGGGAAGTTGGGCCACTATTTCCTCATAATAATCTCATAATAAAGTATTATCATTGATCCCATTTTATAGGTAACAAAACTTAGTATTCTAAGAGCTCTAGTCATTTGCCCAAGTTCACACAGCTATTAGGGACAAAGACAGCCTTTGAACCCAGTCTGTGAGACTCCAAAGTGAGCTTGACTACTATCCTGTGAGCTCAGCCTCATCACACCAGGCAACTTTTAGAAGTTTAGTTACTTGAACTGAGACAGAGGTTATAAGGGAAAAAAGCTGTCTTGGCCCCCAAAAGGCTAGTTTCAGATTCATGATACTAGATGCCACTGCTTTCAAGCTTGTAGCCTATAATCAACTCACATTGAAACCAGATTTATGAGCTCTTCAGAGGCGAGTTTTGTGATTTTCTAAAGCAGACACATTTGGTATTTTAGAAGGTCAAACCCCCTATGGTGTGGTGTTTTTAATAAAATCAGTTCAGCAGAAATTAGAGACACATTAGTCAATTTCTAGAAAGCCTCTGAGCCATTCAAAATAAGGGGCGGGGGAGTAACATAAAAGACATAACCATGTTCAGATCAATTTTTTTTAAAGGGATAGAATGTAAGGGGTGTAGATACAGAAACACGGCAAATTTGGTCCCATTTGTCTCTGGTTTGGGCAAATTTACACTTAGAAATGGGGGAGTTTTATGTCAATATTAAACATGGGCTGTTCCTGGTTAGCCCAGCCTTGTACTGACACCTCAAAGTAACAGTAAACATCTCTATGAGGGAAAAACAAATAAACCAGTCATTACCATTCTTACATCACTGAATCAGGTAGGTAGTTATTTCATGAAGGGTCCTTTATCTCCATTCTTGGCATCTTCTACACTCTCATAGGAAAGCAAAAGTAGAAACTATATTTAGTTCTTAGTAAAAATCAATGTTGGGAAACCTGCAATATTTTCATTGAAAAGCTAAGTTATGCCTAGATCTGACTTTAAGACATGTGCAAATACTAAGTGAATGACAGGATTTAAAAGAAGAGGATTGTTATTAGCAAAAGAGACAGGGCCAGTCTATTAAGTGGCTGGAACATGAGCACCACAACACCCAGTCTGACAGAGCATGGGCACAGTGCCAGAGAGACAGGGCCAGTCTATTAAGTGGCTGGAACGTGAGCACAACACCCAGTCTGACAGAGCATGGGCACAGTGCCACCACCCCACCGAAAAGGGAGATGCAAACAGTCTCATGAATTTACAGTATAAAGAACAAGATCCAGATGAAGAAACATAGAACCAAGTGAAGACACTGCACTCACCTTGCATTAAAGTTGTGTGATTTTAGCTTTAGCCTGGACCCAGGCCTTTCCTGGAATATGGAATTTATTGATTTCCAAGTGTTTCTAAGCACATGAATTTAAATCCTTCATTGCTATATTTCCTAATGGATTGATGAGTTCTTTGTTACCTGGTACTTGGGAGAAATGGAATGAATAGAGAATAGCAGGGCAAGCAGAAGGAAATAACTCTACAGAAGTGAAATAAAGGCTGGCTAATTAAAGAATCATTGAACTTGTATGGTGTTGTACATGAAATGAGAAGGCACAAGGAGAAAGTCTTTTAATCTAAGTGGAAAAACTATACTTTGACATAGAGTTAGAAAGCGAAGGTGAGGGGAGAAATTTTATCAATGGCAATCTTGATCAATAGTTAGGTTAAACAATTCTTTGGCTCCCTCAAAAATTGACACACATAAAACTTAACACATCTTATAAATTGTTAAGGCATGAATGCACAAACTGTCAATCTCAAAAAGCACAAAACAAATCTGTCATTTATTAAGATGCATATTTATTCCATAGCCTAATTTATTTGGGCTGTGGTCTATTAACTATTAAATAATCTAACTATTCATTTTTAGATTAGTCCTTTCAATTCAGATTCTTCAATGAGCTTGGCTACTGCATCTGTCTTCAGGGACCCAAATTATACTCATCATAAAATATTCCAGACGATATTTTTTTAAAAACTCTATAATATTCATAAAAGAAAACCCCATACTCAAATATGTAGGCAATAGGTTAATTAAGCAAAAGTTTCCAATATACAAAAGAATTGAGGGAAAACCCTACATGGCAAATTATTCTTATTTAAGATTAAAAAGATCCATTTGGGGAGAAAGGTACACAAATGTGACATGGGTTTAAACTCAGGCTGGGCAGTGTTGCCACACAGAAAGTCCTACAGGAGCGGAAACACCGGTGTATTAAGTTAGTGGTTAAAGTCAATGTTTTGTTTGGTTATGTTAATAAAAGGATCATTTGGGGAAGAAAAACTAGAAGCACTGTGTGTTATTTAAATCTCAATTGATATATAGTGTTCACTATGGAAAACCTTTCTAAAATTTCAGAAGTCAAAAATAAGATAAAATGTTAGTATAACACTTTGTTTAAAGACGTTTTGAAAACTGGGAGCATGGTACAATAAAGTTTGGCTAACTTGGAGTCCAAAATATTTAATTCGGTTAGAGACAGAGTAAACAGTAGAAGTAGGCAGTGACTAACTTTACCAAAAAAAGTTTACTTTAGGTGTTTTTTTTCCTGGTTGGAGGTAGACATATTTAAAAGTATTAAAGAGCAAGTGGATCAAGTTGGTAAGTAATAGTAGACTTGCTAAGGCAACTTCAGTAACAGATCAATCATATCTGACCTGGTATAAATATGCTTAAGATTTCTCTTAGATAAAAGTTAAAAACCAGAATGATCCAAACAAAAAATGTGAGTAAGACACTAAATGATGGGCAGTCCATTTAGATATTCTACATGCTGTAGGAGAATTACACATATGCATGTAAGAATAAAAAAGATTTTGGTCTCGTTTTTTTAAAAAAACACAAAGGAAGGAAGATCAAGCCAAATCCTATAGTTAGACCCTTGTCTGAGCAACAGATTTTCATTTATATAATTAACATGTAGTGTCTTACACTTCCCACTTAGTTTTTAATTTATGACAAGACACTGCTCAATTTCAGACAAAAATATAGATATATATTTTTAAATCTTTACAATAAATCAAGATGTAGGAGCTTACATACAACACATTTTAGTTTATTTAGGTACTCATTCCAGCTCCCTCAGATGCAAATCACCTTGGTAACAGTGTGTACATAGTCTTCTCTTTGCTTTTTATAATTTCAAAGCAAAAAATACATTTGACTGTATGTAAGTCTGTGCAAATAATCCTTCAGAAGAAACATCCAAGATTCTGTTTGCAGAGGTCATTTTGTCTCTCAAAGTTGATTACATGAGTTTGTTTTTCTTCAGATAAAGTGCTCCTGTCCAGCGGAACTCAAAGGCCTTCAAAGCGTCCAAGAAGCTCAGTTCAGATAAGACACGGTCATACGAATTCCAGCTTCCCGTGCCCACTATACATGCCCCAGTGAACGAGAGAGAGGATCTTGTCGTTGCTGAGGTCTGCTTGCCTCATTTTGTCACAGGTCAGACAGCAGTTCTCGTGCCCACTCACTGGCACCATGCATTCCAAGTCCAACTTTGCAACCTGCCCCTTTTTGGAATGGTGTCCGTGAAAGCTGTAGTGCAAACGGGAGAGCATCTGTTGCCGCTGATCCCGCAGTCTCTTGTTTTCACTTCGCAGCATCCTCAAGGCCAACATAATAAGCAACACTAAAATCAGCCCTCCAGCAATTGGAACAGCAATCACCGCTGCCCGGAACCACAGCTCTTTGGAAGAAGTCAGCTCCTGCACTTTGGTGATGAGGTTTCTGCTACCATCATGCTGATACCGGTTTCCTTGTCCTAAAGGAGCACAAGCAGAACTATGTTAACCTCTCTCCTGTACATATTCAAGCTCATCTATCCATTTTAAACCAGGCACCCCAATATATAGCCGACAATTAAGTCAACAATATTTAGAAAATAAATGTTGCAAAAACAATGCAAAAGATTACAAAAACATCTGTTTACAGACTCTCATTACAGAGTATTAGTGGTCTTTTAATGTCTTCCAACTTGAAAAAACAGGCAAAACCTATTATGTAGACAGACATCTAATGCTCAAGCAGACATAAAAGCTACTCAAGAGAGATGCATTTTTGCATTCAGCCATTCTTCTCCCTCTGCTGTCTCTAATTAGATTAACAACAAAATCAATAGCAGACATACAAAGTCTTGGCTGTCACAAAACTATATAGATCAGGCAAGCATTTGGTTAGAAAGCGCTTCTACCTACCTGAGGCCTCTCCTTTGGGAGAAGAGAGAACGTCATGCAGCCCTCGGTAATTGCACATATCTTCATGACAGCATTCCAATGTGGGTATGGCGGTGCCAGAGTGGTTTTGTGCCTGTTTGGCTTGGCAGATGTCTGCTGTGCTTGCGAGAGAGTCCAGGCAGCCATGGGTGAGTGGGGAATTTGTGTTCTGAGGATCAAGAAGCCTAGAGAAGCAGGCACTCAACTCAGATTTACACATATAGCCAGTTGCCACACAGTGGGCAGCATCACAGTAGCATCTGATTTCACCTGAAAACAATGAGAAATTGCATCAAACTGCTTCAGAGACCAGATCATGCGTCTGCTTAAGTGAATGCTAAATCCCAAGCTCAAAGGCACTTTTAGAATATTCAGCTGAGTGCTTACAACAACAGTAGACCATGCAGACTGGGAAAGCCCTTTGTGTATGCCTGTGCTTTAATTTCAACCCAGTTAAATACAATTTTAGAAATGTATCAACCCCAGTAGCAGAGAATCAAAGTTCAATTTAGGGTTCCGTTAAGTAAGTAATTAAAAATAATACTTTTGTTTGTGAAGGAAAATAATATTCACAATAATTTCTCCTACAATAAGGTAAAATTACATCATTTACTCATTTAATCCTACATGACCATACAAAATGAAAATGCTAAGCTTTTTTATTTTGTCAGTATAAATATTTGATCGGAACTACTGAATTGTTTACTACCTCGAGGGGCTGTGCCAAGATTTAAGAGCTTTAGCTAACACTTTATAAAGTTATTAACTAGAAACACAACAATCTAGAAACTGCTCCAGTCAGGAGGTTTTAAAACTATGAAACTGGGCAGCTATTTGCAACCTCTCTAGAAAAGGCAAACTTTGCCTATAAAGATCTTTTCATGCAGAGGAGCTTTTAGTATATTGTAAAACAGGAACTAGGCAGTTTACAATTAGTGGTTTGCTTGCCAAAGTCAATTTCTTTCAGCCCAAATGGAAAGTCATAAATCTGGGGGTGGAGGGGAGAATGTAAAACTGCAAGGCTAACTTCTCCTCCCCCTAGCCCCCCAGTTGTACATGTAATTCAACATGGGATCTAAAAGGGGAAACACTGAATCTGAAAATCCTCTCTGCTGGTTCAATGACAAATCCTTAAGGAAACCTCAAATTTTTCTACAGGAAGTGATTAAAGTTTCCTTTATAAAACTTATTTTGTGAGTCACTGTTAACATTTTGCTGCAATGTAAGATCTGAGGCTTTTAACATCAATTTCTAGTTGAAATAAGCTGGGTCTCGGAGTTATCACTAATATGATTTCCAACCCAGTGGGCTCCAGGCATTGTCACATGCCACAGCTAACGCTGCTGTAAATTAAACGAATGCACACGCCTCTCTCCAGCTTCCCAATCTGAAGTTCTGTCTAGTTACTGAAACCGCCACTCTGAAACTAAACCCCTCTTCCTGCCCTCACCTTTACTCCTCTCTGTGAATGCCTGAGTAAGGTGTCTCATTTAATTATCTGTCCAAATTCCAGGCCACCGTATGGCATGCTCAGTTTTCACCAGAGGCTGCTAATGCTTCAGTTCTAAAAAGACTAGCCAACTATATGTAGATCTTTGGCAAGGTCTTGCTGCTATTCTAAATTTCTGTATCTGCACTCCCTGTCCTTTGTCTGGGCCCAAGACCCTTCTCCAGGAAGACCTTCAAGATAGGAGCTTGCTTTACAGAGGTTTGCTCCTCTTTCCAGCTTGATTTTTTGCATAAAGCTCACTGGTATTATGTGGTTGATGGTAACTATAGGTCCCTAGGCTGACAAATTCCATATAGAGATTTAAGGTTGAAATAAAACAGATTAAAAGTCACTTTTGATCCTATTCACCTCAGACCTCATGCAGGAAAAAAAAAAAAACTGAATGCAAGTGAAATGCTGCTTAAATGTTTATGAGAGCCTATTTAACATACTGTATTTTCAATGACCTGAAACAGTCTAATAAAATTTTGACAGGTAACTAGAAAAGTTCTAACGACTTTTTTATAAAATTGGAGCCACATTTGAGCAAGCTGAATTAACTTTTGTATTACTGTATTAAAACTATATTTCTGTTGTTTCATAAAGTTTCTTCCTGTGGCATACAAAAGGCCAGAAAGGGGACTGGTCTTTTGAAACGGTGAACAATGCTCTTCTGTTTCCCCCCCTCTCTTGTTACTGTATGTAGTGATTAAACAAAAATGTCTGCTTTAGTCAAGATGGCTACAGGAGAGGCTGCTGGCTTCTTTTAAAGCTTTTGAAGTCAGCAGCAGTCAGAAATCTCTGATCCCCTAATTATATCATTATCAGGCACATAGTTTCGGTATCTGTGACTTCATGTCAGCCTCAGTCCCTCCCTGCTCTGCCCGCCTTTGATAGGACCAGGAGGCTCCCCTCTCGGGCTGAGAGGGCTGTTATTTAGGGTTAATTACACCCTTCCTTCCAAAATAAATAAATACTGTAGCACATCATCCTTGCTGGGCTGGCTTATCCTTTAACCTCATGCCTGCTACATGGCAATTAGAGAAAAGTGAGGGGTGCAAAGCTAAACAACACTTCCTATTTAAAAAAAAAAATGTATGTGTAGTTCATGGCAGGGTAGGTGGGGAAACCTTGAGATCTAGATGGAGTTTGGATTATTTCAAACTAAAAGGTAAAAGTCTGCAGGGGAGGAAAAGAAACTAAGCGCTGTTTTGTTTTTGTTTTTCAGTAGTATCTGTGAAATACGAAGTGAGTGGGAATGGGGACCACTGACAGCCTTCTCCTCCCAGCCGCTCGGAACACAGCATATACCCCTGCACACTGACACACCCCGGACACCTGCACTCGGGGAGGCACACACTCGCTGGTTCACAAAGACACTCGCTGAGAGACCAAAGAAACACTCGTGAGCAGAGGCACATTCAAATACAGAGGCAGACTCAAATCGCTCACATATGCAAATACAGGCACTTTCAAACATATTCAAATACAAAGATATACTCAAATACAGAAACAGATTCAAATAGAGTGACACACTCACTAGCAGAGACACACGCCCAGGCACGACGCGGTTGAGGATGGGGTCTGCGGTTCGGCCAGGGCTTCCCCGCCCCGGGGCAGGCAGGGCGGCGGCGTCCGAGCCCACACCACCGCCCCGCTCCCCGGCCGAAAACCTTCTTCAGTTCACTACAGACAGACGGACACAAACATTTTGACAACCGCTTGCCCTGAGGTCTGACTGCCCCTCCAAGAGCCGGGCCCGAGACACCGACCCGAGTCGGCCGCGAAGTCACCACCGCGACTTCTAAGAACAAGCAACTT